GTCCGCCTCGCTGTGGTCCACGCGCCGCAGCGTCAAGCGCACCTCGCCCTGCGCGTCGCCCCACGCGTGCCACACCTTGAGGATGCGCGCGCGCCCGTCCAGCGGACGCTCCACGCGCCGCCAGCGCTCCATGATGGCGTAGCCGTGCCCGTCCCCGACCACCGTGCTGGGGCCGGCGCCGTCGCCACTGCCGCTGCCGCACCCTACCACACACACACACTCCAATTCAACACTCTCGTACTATAAAGATTCACTGCTTTCAAGGGCCTTTGGCACTTGGCATTTTTTCCGCCCGAGATAATTCTAACCAATGGCACATACAAGATATTATTTTATGTGCCATTGGTTCGAATTATCTCGGGCGTCAAAAATGCCTTACAAAGGTATTTCGTAAGAAGAGAAAGTTGAGAAATCGTGCACCGGAAAACAGCAGATTTTCGGCAAGAAAACTCTTATTGCCGTGCTCTGGTAACGCAAAAATGGTTTAAATAATTTAATAAATGCTAAATGTAGAAAAAATCCTATAATACATGGTGTTGCCAGAATCCATGTTTTGTGGGTCCTTGATACCGAAATATCGATTGTCGCGAAACGTCTGTCTGTCCGTCTGTGGCCAACGCTAGCGCCTGAACCGTTCAGCCGATTTTCTTCACAATTTATATCCCGCAATTGATGTAAATGAACTCGAGGGTTAGGGAGTTACAAACTGATATTTTGATTTTTGAAGGTTCTTTACATGAAGCCTCAGTAACACAAATTTTCTCAAAATGCCACAAAATTATTTGATCAAACTTTGTCTTCAGATAGCGCTTAAGAGAATGGTGCAGGTCTCGTATTCGTTGAAATCCCAGGTTTTTTATTCTGAAAGAACAATTTTTTTGGTCATTTTCTTACAACTATAATATTGAAGACAGAGGTTTTTCGTAATAAAACCTATTCCTTAATGACGGACCTTCAAATAAGTTCATTTTCAATTTTTGGAAAATATGAGTAGTTTTCTTGTAATTTGTCGCAAAATATAGATCATTAAAAAATTAAACATTTTTTCTCAAAAACTGCTCCACATGTTTCCCCCCACCCCGAAGGATAGAAGAAGGGATGCTTAATAAAATGACGCGAATTTCATTTTCGTTGAACTCTCTGAATTGACGAAAATTACAATTTAGATATAATGCGAGAAAGTATGTACTCCTGTAGCACCATCAGTTTTCTTAATTTTAATTATTCACATTTACTCATTTACTAACTTAACTTAGCTTAAAGACGTTAACTTAATTTCAAATGGACCAAATACAAGTTTACTTAAAATCGCGTATCATCGATGCATAAGAAACATAATGCATCTAAAATATTATGATTTTGCTGTTTTAACCTCAGCGGAGCTGCATACCCCCCAACCAAAGTGTTTTGTTTTATATACTTGTGAAATAATTTTACGGGATTTTTATTAGTAAAAATATATTTCACTAAACTCTCTTCTCTTAACTAAAAAAATGAATTTTGAAATGTGTCCCATGCGTCACTTTTTTAAGCATTGACGATACTTTCAAAGGAGAGGTAAGTTGAAAATTATTAATGGATGGAAACGCAGCCAACGAAGAACAGACGTGTACATGACAATATTAAAAAAGCATTATTTTTATAAATGTTTAAAAATTATCTATTTTTACCACTTAAAGGTTCACATGACAGGCGCAGTAAAGTAAAACACTGTCTTTAGCTGAATAATAAACATCTCCGCTCAGGAGAAAACAATTCTCCTGGAAAATGGGAATTTTTAAGATGTGTAACTCTTCTCGGACATTGACTATGTGTGGAATTCTACGGTGGAAGATGTTATGACTTGGATTACCTTGACACCTAATACTGTAGACTGAACTCGTGTCCAACCTACAAAAATCTCGAAATGATAATTAAAAACGTCTCCTCTTATATTTACTCTATATCTTAAAGCCGAATCGCCTCATTTCCGTGATAATATGGCGAACAAAATCACGAGGTCCGGTCTGAATGGCTGAGATCGCTAATGCAGTAGTGCCATAGCGATCTCAGTCAGAAGGATCGCGGGTTCGAGTCCCGCCTCGGGCATGATTGTATTTGGGTTCGTCCTTTCACCCCCTATCATATCGTGTCATCCTTACAGTTACCATACCGTTACATGCAATAGCGGTCGCTAATGACCTACAAGTTGATGCGACCTTAAATTTTAAAAAAATCACGAGGCTGAATGGCTTGTTATTTACAACTTCCAATTCTTAAGGCGCAGTTCATGCTTCGCTCTACGTGTCGAAGTTCATGACGAATCTCCAGCCTAAGCAATTAACATAAATCATTGTCGCGTCTTCCATGGCTAAATTTTATACCAAAATTATTTTTTAATTAAGATTCATTTGAACTATGAAACACACCCTTTGGTTCTGGCGACGTCTCACGGCGGCGGGAGTCAATTCGTGAACCCGTGCAAGTTCTCAAGCCTATACTTGATATTAGCTAACAGTCTTGAACTCACATAGTAAATGCCTTTAAATTATAACAAATAAAATAAATTAACAATTTAGGAAATATATCTCGTGTAATGTATTTCTATTCGATTGTGGGAACATAACCCCTCAAATCAGAGATGTAAATACCCAACCCCGACGCCGCCATTCCATTTCGCGAACGATGACGTATGCGCGAAGCTGCGCGCTCCTTGCCAAAATCGCGCCGTCTTCGGGGCGCGAGTGCCCTTGTGTTGTCACGGAGTCTTTATTTACCTGCGCCATTGCCACCGTCTCCGCTGCCGCTGCCGCCGCCGCCGCCGCCGCGGGCGCCCTCGCTCTTCAGCAGCACGGCGATCACGTCGTCGCAAGTGGTCTTGCGGTTGACGCCTGTCACCCACCGCTGCCGGCTGTTCACCCACACCGGGATCTCTGCCGTTGTCATCGTTGTGTCCGGTCGCCGGGGAGCTGCAACACAAGGTGAGCGAGCGCTCTGTAGAGGTTAAGGCAGTCGGTGAAGCGAGAGCTAATCATACTGTCGATCGAACTGGTGCAGATATTCAGGGATGAAGTGATAGGGTAATGATCAAGGAAACCACATTCCCATTAAGCTTATTCACGTTTTTGAATAATTATTTATTAATAATTTTTTCCTGAAGTCATTTCACTAATCCAATGTTGGCGACTACAGTGAGACGCGATATGGCTATTTACGTCAATACGGAATCATTTTTCAGACGATTGTGTGGGATGTGTAGCTGTTTGTCTCCGCCTTCTGCATGTTGTAGCGAAAAACATCCTCGACAATCATAGGGTTCGAGACCACAATCCAGTGTGAAGTAGTTACCATATCTGCCTGTGCTTTATAGATCACGAATACTGTGTGAATATGATCTACTCTTGTTTGTTGGTTTATTTATGTTGTTGCCTGTATTTCTCTCTGAATGTATATGTGTATATATAGATATGTTTATATGTACACATTTGTATGCTTCTGTAAGTTTATATGTAGGTATCTCTTAATGTAAATTATGTATTCTTGAAAAACAGCTAAGTCTTTTTAGTTGTGTGGAAAGGAGGAATTTTCAGAATCTCCTCTCTCCCTTTAGATATTGTTATCTTCACTGAATTGTGATATAATATTTTGATTTGTGCGACTTTTCTTGTGCACTGGCAGTATGTCTTGCTTTATTTTATTTCACTCTCGCCTGAGCGGCAAGGAGTATCGGTTTAAACGATAGTTGTCTTTAAATTGTACGGTGTTCTCAACTTTAGACAATTACATATATTTAACTTTAAAAGAACAAACATTAAACTCCTAAATCATGAAAGCATACATTTGAATAAAATATATTTTATAGACAAAATTAAATTAAATTCGTATGCGTGAACTTTTTTACAAGGTTTATTTTAACGTTCGAAATCAATAAAATGTTCCAAAACGGAGAAATTAATGGTTCATGGAAAGGTCGAGTTTATTAGTTCAGTCAAGGCATTCTGTGAGTGAAGTGTTGAGTATACTATTCTCTCTGAATTCCTTATATATGCATGAAACAAATAACCTCGGCAGATGCCGAAACAGGACGATATTTTACATCAGTATTTCTTCATAATCAACAAAGACTTACTGGTGCGTTGCCATGCCGGCGATTCATTTATTTCAAAATTGAATCAGTGTCGCAGAACGAGTCACACAATATACAGACTTTCTTACTACACAATAAGAATATTTATGAGGAAGAAATGTCCATAGTTTTTCTTTGTATTTATTGTACGTTCTGAATAGTTTAGGGATGAGATTCATTGGTAATTTTAGTTCACGGCCGAACCGTTCACTTGTTTTGATTGTTAAACATTCTTGACGCTTGTTAATGCCGAAGGCATTATTTTGCCGGTTCCAATACAATCGAGTTGTTCGGCTTCCGAGATGTAAAATATTCATTCATCTGGTTGAGTAGCCTCCATAGCCTAATTTTTCGTATCTACCTCTAGTATCCTAAAACCGATTAAAATGCATTTGTGCTGTTTCGACGGTTATACCAAACGCAGTGAGCAATGTTTTATTATACAGAACTAAGAACACAGACGTGCATTTCACGTAAGTATCATTAATTTAAACTACGGATATGAAATATTAAGGGATTTTGTAGAGGTTGATCGACCATGGGAAATGATGGGCAAATAAGGTATCAGTAAATGAAACGGCGTAGCCTGGTAGCAATTTGGCAAAGAGCCTTTTCAGTCAACATCATTGTATGAAACGCTTTAGCAAAGCCAACATGGCTTAAAGCAGGGCAAAAAATACATCCAAATATGAATTGAGCTTAGCAACTTGTTTGAACTTGAAATAGACATTTAGACATGAAACATTCATGTCATCGCTCCATCTTGCCCGGGAGCGCCGTTCATTATATTGACCATCCTACAACTTTAACGGAAACAAATAAAGTGAGAGAGGTGGATGAAAGTTTTCACAACATTTTTTTTATTACTAGTTTTACGTTTATGAAAATAACATCATGCGTGAAAATTTTATAAGAAATTGAATTAAATACCTGAATTATAAAGATATTGGATTTAAGTTTTGTAATATTCATATACATGTACAAATTAATGTTCAAATGAATGAAAAATATAACTTTTTTACTTTTTAAAAATATATTAACATTTATATTACATTAATATGTGTCACATTATTGTTATCTGTTTTTACTGTAGTTGCATTTAACTATGGAAGATGGAATGAGATTCGGAACGTCTGCCAAGTAGATAGTTTGGCAAAGGCGGGGGCGATTAAAAATTCTAAAACCTGCGGAGCTTTTGAACGGCTTCACTAGGTTGTAGACGGTTACTGTCTTCGTCCTGGAAACATCTCCAAAAAACAAAAACAAAACATAAAAAAACAACAAAAAAAACAAACGACTTGAAGCGCGGAGCGTCGAAAGAATCCCCTCCCAACTCTTTCACGCTTCCTCGGAAGGTGTCAAGGGTACGCGCGCCAACGACCACGTGCCTGCGCGGCGTGGTTGACGACACCCGCGGGTCGTTTGTTCTCGAGCCATACCGGGCCGGGCCTCGTCCACGCGGCCCGACGTCGCGGGCGGTCGCAGCCGTCTCGCCAAACAACTTTTCTCATGGAAAACTCGTCAGGCGGTGCCTGAATGAGCCGACGACGCCGACCGGCCAATGTCGAGGCCTGCGCTCGCGAGCTTTCAATGAAAGCGGCCACTAAATGGCGGATACTACGAACTTTCGAAAGATGTTCGAATGGAATTCCTCAGCGTTTGCGTCGCCGGGTCGGGTTTAAATCTCAGCGAGTTCACTAACCCGTGCCGAGATAAGGTAGACGTGTCGTAGCTGCGATTTCCAAGTTTCCAGAAGAGATTGTGTGGTGGTTGAATGGGACGTTTGACAAGTGTAGCGTGACCGCGGTATGGAGATACGAGAAACTCGGGCGTTGGTTAAAGAAATCAAATTGCTTGGCGCAAGAAAGCTTGGGAGAAACATCTTGCAGTTGCGCAGTCCATTGAGTGCAAGAAAGTCCGGGCTCGTTGAGTAAGCGGATGGAGTCTTTTGTACTGTTATTTTAATGAGAAGAACCTTAACATTTCTAGAACAGTGCGTTATGTAACTCATTAAAGCAGCTCCCTGCAGAGTTTTAATTACTTATTTTACTATCTTGAAGATGGACTGGAGTCATCGCTATATTTCAAGGGGAACAATGCGACTGCAAGAGGAGGATTCTCTCACCGTAAGTAGTCAAACACCTTTCGTGCCGTCTGAGAGCAACTCCGAGTTCCGGGAGGACACGCGCCTTTTGCGCTTGAAACATTTAATTGGGTGGAGATTGAATGAAATGTAGCCTTGAAGTTGAGAAGAGTATTTCAATGCTGCTTTTAGTGGAGTCGATCCTGTATTGTAATGTCACAAGCATTTGACAAGGTCCGAATATACAACAGAAAGCATGGTAGTTTTTGCTTTAGTTCTTCGCTCGAATGTGTTACTTCATATGTAGAAATTTGATAAGGAGAATACTGATCGTTATCTGATTTAACCATAGTGACTTCTGATGTTCGATCAGCTGGGACCAGTCGTTCAATCGAGAGTTTCAATACCAAAAACGTAAGTCGTAACGCAACTGTGATTCGATAACCGCGTTCAACTGATCTAACGTCAGAAGTCAATATAAATAAATAGGAGTGTAGACAGTAGTAATGAATGGCACAGAAAATAAATTCTTCTGCATTGATTCTGAGGCACATTGAAGAGCGCGCAAGGGAAATCTATTATGGTGTTGTTGTTGTTATTATTATTATTATGAATATTATTATTATTATCATCATCATCATTATCACTATCATATGATAATCTGTAAACATCAGGGAGTTCGAAGTAGCCCGTTCAGACAGGTTGTTTACGAGGGCAATCAATGATGGGACATCGAAGTAAGTTAGTAAGACACTGACAGACATGTGAACAAACTTTGGAAGTTACAGCGGTGAACTCGCACGCCAGTTGTAGCGCCCCAACTACGGGAGCTCCTCAGCCACTTCCACCTGTCAGCGCACTTTTATTTCGGTCACACATTTACAGCGTGAACAAAGGACACATAAAGGCAAGGAACGTAAAAAATGTTGAAGATATTATTCGAAGAAAAGAAGTTCAAGAAAATTTGAAGAAGTGGAGGTGCCGTGCCCACGTTTTTCTGGTCATTACAGTTGTTTCAAATTCGAAAGTAGAACTCATACGCTAAGAGGTAAAGGCTGGGACGTGAGATTGCGAAAAAAGGGAAGAATACTACGTACTTTCTTACGAAAGTCCATATAGAACCTTATAAGGAAGGATATTGTTCGTTTGGCTCGCTGGTAGAACTAGCGTGACTGGCTGTTGGAAATTACTCTTTGAAATAAATAATAAGTTAACAATTTAGACAGAATTGTATTTCTGATGTGAATATGAAAGTTATTGTTTTCGTATCTAGTTCATGGTTATGAACGAGTATCTTTTTCAAATTCGATTAGAAAGCGTAGCAGATTCTCCAGTGAGCTTGGATGTTCCAGAGTATGGTGTGGATATGCTTCGGAGGGGAAGTAGATATGAAGGCGAACTGCGAATTGCGTACATGTACAAACATATTTATTGAAATTTTGCATCTGATTTGTAACCTTAACCATATCATTTCTTTTAATATCTTCTCATGAGATGGAATTAAATGAATCTTGGATGGAATGGAATTGATGGATCTTGTTGTAGCATCTATGCCTACATTGGCGACTGTAGTGGCAAAGGAACTAATGAATTTCTGAAATTATAATCTTTTTTTTTGTCATTAACCCATTAATGTCGTCACCGTGGGATGTCATAGCAAAAAAAAAATTATTGTAATGTTTTTACTTAAACGTATTTTAAGTGTTTTACTTAAATTGGGGATACAAAATTGGAAAATGAAGCATATTTACTTGAAGTTTCGTGGATGCGCC